AGCCGTGTTGACATTTGTATTGAAAATCCTGACCTTGGTTCTAGTTGACCGTTATTTTCAGTCCCAGATGTTTCAAAATTGTAGATATGCAGCTCTTGCTTTGCCGATCTGCGCTTTCACATCTGCATCAGGTCCGCCTTGTTCATCAGTGATGCTGCTCAGATATGTAAATGTTTTTACATTTTTCAATTCTTCTCCGTCAAGTGTGATTGGATTGTTGCATGCTGTGTTGTATCGGAGAATCTTGGTGTAACGACCGAACTGCCAGTATTTGGTTTGAGCGCAGGACTACGTTCTTCTGTATAGCTTACCAACCATTTTTGAGACACTCATAGTAAATTATATCAAAACACAAACTTTGTGCTCAATTTATACGGTTCTAATTTAGGAAATAGAACAAATTATATCAAAAGTACGAAGTATCTGTGACGGTACAGCCTATGCTATACAGTCAGAAGTTTCTCCAACGCAAAGTAGCGTGCTAAACAATAAAAGAAACAGTTAATACCAAAGGGTCCAATACCTGAGAATCAATAAAAATATCCCCAACAAAATGGGTTGAAATACCTATTTGTAGGGATTCCAGCAATCCTCCTAAGCAAACAGTCAAAAGGTCAACAGTCACACACTGAATCACGCCATGACCTTGAGCTTAGTCAAACACTACCTTACTGTCAATAGTCCGGCAACATGCAAAAGAAAGTTAGGTGAGACAAGATAAGTCTTTAATTAAAATCACATAACAAAAGCTCAGACGAGGAAGACTGAAGAACAAAAGGTATAGTTAAAGAAGATCTGAACAAAGGTTAAAATACACAGCAGGGAGAAGAAACAAATATATGACAGTACTGTTCAACGAAAAAGCTGCGGAGGAATTTTGATCGTTCTCTTTTCGTTACACTTACTTCTCCCTTATTTGTATGTTGAGACCTACTGCTGCTACACTGGTTGTCTTCTCCTGCATTTGTTGTCACGTGTACTATAGAAGCGCCACATCATTTGCGAATCCTAGATCGTCCAGCTGCATCCTCGATGCTCATCGTATCGCATGTTTCTCCCCAGATGTTGACGTCTTCATGATCCAGTCCATCACCGGGAGAAAGGGTAAGAGTAAGTAACCTTGCCTGACATCGATCTTTACTTCGAAGGAGTTTGTCAACTGCCCTCCATGCACGATTTTGCAGTTTAATCCTTCATAGGAATTCTGTATGATATTGACTATCTTCTCAGGCACGCCGTAGTGTCAAAGAAGCTACCAAAATGTTTTCTTGTCCATACTGTCAAATGCTTTTTCATAGTCAATGAAGTTGATGTAGAGCGATGAATTTCATTCACTTGGTTGTTCCACAATGATCCGTGGAGTTGCGATTTGGTCTGTACACGATCTATCCTTACGGAATCCCGCCTGTTGGTCGCGAAGTTGGGCGTCTACGGAGTCCTTCATCCTTTTTAACAACATTCTGTTGAAGACTTTTCTGGTATTGAGAGAAGAGTGATTCCCCTGTAGTTGTCACAGTTGCTGAGCTCGCCTTTCTTTGGTATTTTGACTAGAACTCCTTCTTTTTTTAGTCTTTTGGTACCTGTTTCTCATCCCAAATCTTTCTGAAGAGAATGTGGAGTATCCTTGAAGTTGCCGCTACGTCTGCTTTCAGTGCCTCTGCTGAAATGTTGTCTGGTCCTTCTGCTTTGCCGCTCTTGATTTGCATTATGGCCATGCTGATTTTTTCAATTGTTGGTGGGTCAACATCGATTGGGAGGTTCGTGGGTGCTGCTTCAATGTTGGATGTGTTCAGTCGAGCTGGTCGATTCAACAGTTCTTTAAAGTGTTCTATCCACCTGTTCCATTGTTCTTCAATGTTGGTGATTACCTTACCTTCCTTGCTTTTCACTGGTCGTTCTGGTTTACGGTGATTTCCAGAGTTTCTTGGTTGTGTCATACAGTTGTCTCATGTTTCCTTCTCTGGCAGCCTTTTCCACCGTCATTGCTAAACCTTTCACATATTTACGTTTGTCAGTTCTGATGTTCCTCTTCACTTGCTTGTTTACTTCTGTGTATTCGGCTTGTACCTAGGCTTTTTCTGCTCTTATTTGGCTGGTATTGATTTCTGTTTTCTTGTTCCTCCTTTCTTGAATCTTATCCAGTGTATCGACCGTGATCCAATCCTTGTGATGGTGCTTCTTTTGGCCCAGAATTTCATGACATGTTGAAGTGATTGCCTCTTTTATCACTTTCCAGTTGCTCTCCACAGTATTTCCTTCTCCATTGAGTAGATCATGAAAGGCCTGGAACTTATTGCTGAGAGCTATCTTGAATTTGTTGAGTTTGTCAGTATCCTGAGGAAGAGCCGTATTAAACTTTTGCTATATTGTCCACCCAGCTGTTCAGTGCCTCTTGAGTTTCAATTTCATCTTGGCGACCAGCAAGTGATGATCTGATGCTATATCAGCTCCTCTCTTTGTTCTCACGTCCTCCATCATCCTCCTGAACGTTTTGTTGATGCAGATATGGTCAATTTGGTTCTGTGTGGTGTGATCCAGTGAAGTCCATGTGGTTTTGTGAATGAGTTTATGTGGGAATATAGTTCCGTCTATGACCAGTTTATTGAAGGCACATAAATTTGCAAATCTCTAACCGTTTTCGTTCCTTTCTCCGACTCCGTGTCGTCCCATGATCTCTTCATATCCGGTGTTGTCAATTCCAACCTTGGCATTTAGGTCTCCTATCTGAATAGTCAGGTCCTTTGTTGGGCACTTCTCGACGATTGACTGCAGCCTATAGTAGAATTGATCTTTAGCGTCTTCATTGTAGTTGTTGGTAGGCGCGTAGCATTGGATGACGTTCATTGAAATGCCCTCTTTCTTTGTTTGGAAGCAGGCTTTGATGATCCTTGGTCCATGAGATTCCCATCCTATAAGTGCATTTTGTGCTTGTTTGGACAGCATCATTGCTACTCCTTGTGTATGTGGGGTATTTTCTTCTTCATGTCTGGAGTATAACAGAAGCTTCGCTGAAGCTGGTCGTTGTAGTCCAACATGCGTCCAATATGTTTTTCCCTGATCCCAAGCACCTCCAGATTGTATCTCCTCATTTCCGTTGCTATTTGACTGGTCTTCCCGGTCTCCCACATTGTCCGGAAGTTTCATGTATCTAAATAAATGGTTGCTCCGGTTGTTAGAAGGGGCATCAGCCTCGTGACTTCCGAAGAAACTCGGCTTTCACCATGAGGCGTCATATTTCTTCTAAATGAAGACCTTCTAACTCCCAGGGCAGAGTTTAAATGGTTTGAGTTATTTTTTCTGGTTAGCGTTTTTTTAGCGAGTTGGTTTTCTACGGGATGTGGTCGCTCACCCCATGCCCAACCCTCCTCCTTTATCCGGGCTTGGGACTGGCAGTAGCCACAGTCGGGCTCCAGGCGAAGTTCTATGTGTTACCGGTATATATATAACCCCTGATGCAACATTCGCGCACCAAAACCTTCGTGGAACGATTTTCTCACAAAATCACATCCTCGCGGTGGGTTTGTGAGTCTTGTGAAACGGAAACCATTTACAGTGTGGTGGATCCTAGGAAAAGGGCTTATTCAAGATATGAAAATACCCAAAGTTATTAATAATATACCGAAAAAGTTAACACTACAACTCTAGGTGTCTGTCTATGAGTAAAGCGAAAGGTAACAAATGGTATTTTAAACAACAAAATGATAACAGTTGTTATTAAACGAATGTCACTTGTAAGCTGTTCTCTGAAATAACAACCACAATTGAGTTCACTTGATCAACAAAGATTGTTCTGCACGTGATGGTACCAACGGCGTAATGAGAAAGATTAAACTCAATAGTATTATTTAATAATGATCCAAACCGAAATTCTAACATAATGTTGGAAGGTCTAAAACGATGTTATAACACTATTATAATCTTCAGTCAAAGGCTGTGGCCAATAAAGCAGAAGAACAGACAGCAGAGTTAGCTTTTATATTCCAACAACTGCTGTAGTATATAAGTATGTAAATTAACAAACAATTATTCGTTTTTTTACCACTGATAAAAAGAAACAATAGAGTTTGAATATAAAAATATGGTTACATATAAAGTGTGACAAATTAAAGAAAAGTATGATTTTCATTTTGTAGTTACAAAAATCACTGAATATACATGTCACAATAACAGAAAAATCAATGCGCTTCACTGGATAAAGCTTAAACAACCTTAACAAGACAGAAACATAGTACAAAATAAAAATGTAGCCAATATTCATTTAAACAATAGGTGAAGAAATAGAATGTGCAAAACTTTGCAAGCAATTTACATCTAAAACCTATTTTAGGTTAAGAAAATTCACTCATTTACATATTGTTTCATCCTATAATACACAACTCAATGACTCTTAGTTCTACTCATTATAAAACTTTTTCACTATTTATGTACAATGATTTGATCTATTGTGGTGTTTGAATGAACTAATGATTCCTTTGTACTTGTTGAATGCTTGATTTCGAATTCTAAATACAGTACGTTCGTTCGTGCTTATCTAGTACTTCTTGATCCAATTACGTTATTTCTGGGTTTCTTAGTTCATAATATAATTCAAATACTCCTAATTATCACATCTATTCACAAGAAATTTCTTTCATTTGTTTGGTATAGTTGTTCATTTCAAGATTAATTTCATAATAAAGTAAAATAAGCCGAGAACCACTTAGAAACAATGATCGTAGTAAAGTTGAGAAGTGTATAGACTATTAAAATCTGAGACTTACTTATGAGTAGAGTGAAGAGTGATTGATGGAACGAAATGTCTCATCAGTTCTTTTTTTGCCAAATTAAAATGATTTTACAATGGTGAAACATAATTTTAGATTTGATTTCAGTTGTTCTGATAATGTAATAAGAAGACAAAGATTATCAGAACTATGTGATTTTTATTTTTTGTTTAGAAAAAAATTATATATAGTGCAAGGGAAAATCGAGACGATATAAAATGTAAACTTGTATCTTACGTGCAGTAATCGTTCAAATGTTCTGGAAATATTACTCTTCTCCCAGAACGCGTTGTTTTAAGTTTATTTTCTGATACCGTCGAGGTATCGACGTGTGTTTAGGCTTTCTGTTGAGGTATTATAAGTGCATAAGTCCTGTCATGCGATTGTACTGAAGGAAAGTCGACGTGAATAGGATTTTTGGCGAGACTCTAATTTAGATGCGACTTTTGAACGAATTTTAAATGACCTAGAGAATATTAGCTAATCAGAAAACAGTTAGTATAAAGTAAAAATATATTAGAAGAAACTAAAGAATTACAGTGGATATACTTCTTTTATATGATTTAAAAACTTGCTAAGATTTGATAAAGATTCAGATGTTTTGAAATCATATTGCATACGGTATAAGAACTTATCCATATGGCTCCATAATAGTCGACCTTTGGAGCCGTGATATGGTCTTGAAAACTCCTTCAATCTTGACCACATCGCTTCAATGTTATTAGTATGAACCCCGGTTGTAGGGTCAACGAAATGACGTTTGTGGACTACAACGTGATGGACATATCCAAGTCTTTGAAGACATCTATATGCTCTCCAGTCATCCATATATATCGTAGTACCCGGCATCACGTATTCCTGTATTATTGGTATTATTGTGATTACTTGCCGGTTTGTGACCATCTGAAAATGTCCCTTTCGAGTTGATCTTTCATAAATCCCAAATACCTGTCAAGTATATTTACGAAAATGCTACTTACCCAATCTTCCTTTACACTACGCCTCCTGTTGTATTTTATCTTTCTCACTACCGTTTCATCTATCTCCACGATACATCCTACTCCTCCAAATGATTGGTGTATACTTGTCGTTTTAGTTGTGCATATGCTACGACAGTACTCATACCACTGGACTGCTGAGGTTTCACTAACATCTGCAAATGCCGCAGACAATGTTACTGGTGTCTTTATTACCCGATTCGAAACTATCATCATGACCTGTCTTAATTTCAATCGCGATCGAGCAAAGAAAGTCCCCGGTCTAGCAGACTTTTTCCTCCAACATGAAGGACAACGGAATATAATCTCACCGCAGTGGTCTGCACACTTTACTGCAGTCATTTGATAACCGCAGTCACACGTACAAGAACTGCTTAGTAGTCCCATCTCTTGTAGCATCTCAATAATAACCTCTTCTCTAAAATCCGCTGTAAACCGATCGTATGTGAGCATCATGCGTTAAACTTGGCTCCGTGACCTTGAAATGGCTCAAACGCTTCTGATTGGCTCATCCTTAAATTAGAGTCTCGCCTATAGTATTTGGGTTCGCGTTAAAGAACTTTGAAAGGTCTTTCGTATGGTGGCCCGAGAGGTCGTCGATGCGAGTCTTGACGTACGAAGACGTGTGTACTGTGTCGTAAGTCAGGTTAAACGAAAACATCAGTTGATTGCGGTCGTGTTGAAACAGGTTTAACTAAACGCATTGTGTTTGTAAGCCTTTTTGTGTGGGAGGTTAGATCCATGTTCCACAAATTCTCCTGGAAGTCGAAGGGTCGTACCATAAACGAGTTGAGAAGTAGTATACCCAATGTCAGCTTTCACTGCATTGCGAATACCTAGTAAGACGATTGGAAGAGCGTCAGTCCACTGAGAAATGTTTGCGGCTGATAGTGACGCTTTTATTTGTCGGTGAAAGCGTTCTACTAACCCGTTTGCTTGTGGGTGGTAGGCCGTCGTTCGGAAGCGAGTGATGCCTTATATTGCGGTCAGACAACGGGAAAGTCCAGATTCGAACTGATGTCTACGATCTGTAGTGATTGTTGTTGGGCAGCCGAAGTTTGCTACTCATCGTTCGACGAAGGCGCGGGTTACTTTTTCAGCAGTAATGTCTTTGATGGGTACTGCTTCTGGCCATCGAATAAAACAGTCTACGCATGTTAAAAGGTAAGAATATCCATTTGAATCTGGTAAAGGTCCTACCAAATCCAAATGAACATGGTTGAAGCGAGCATCGGGGGTTTTAAACGAGCCTAGGAGACATTTGTTATGTCTAATAACCTTAGATTTCTGGCAGCTTACACAGAAGCGTGCCAACTCCCTCACGTCTTTATCTACATCAGACCAGAAAAACCGTTCTGCTATAAGCTTCATGGTTTCACGAACACCTGGATGAGAAAGTTTGTGCAACGTATTGAAGACGTTGCGTCGATATTGTTTCGGCACGATTGGGCGATCCCTACCTGTAGATGTGTCACACAGTAAGGTTTCCTTACCTATTTCCATCTGTTTAATTCGCAGTTTAAGTGTTGTTGGGGAAAACTCGTGCTGAAGATCAGTGTCTTCTTTTTGAAGCTGGGAGAGTTTTAGAAGGTCGATTCCTTGGAAACTGTTCAAAGAAGTTATTCGAGATAAAGCGTCTGTGACTACATTGTTTGCTACAGAAATGTGTCGAATATCTAAAGTAAACTGAGAAATGTAGTTCAGTTATCGAGACTCATGTGGTGAGTACTTGTCTGAAGAAGAGCTTAAAGAGAAAGTAAGTGGTTTATGGTCAGTAAAAAGGATGAATTCACGGCCTTCGATATAGTGTTAAAAATGCAGTACAGAACAATACATAGCTAGGAGTTCCCTACCGAATGTGCTGTATCTCGATTCAGTGTCTAGTAGCCGTCTGGAGAAAAATGCCAAAGGTTGTCATGAGTGGTTAACCCATTGTTGTAAGACTGCTCCGATTGCTGAGTCGCATGCGTCTACTGCGATACTAATGGGCGCTTCAGTGTCCTGATGAGCAAGCAGGTTGCCTGAGCGATAAGTCCCTTAACTGTGGATAATGCTTTTCGCGCGGTGTCGTCCATCTTAATGGGTTTCGCATTTCAACGAAGTTGGTCGGTAAGAGATTTCATAAGGGACGCGCATTTTAGTATGAACCGTCTATAGAAATTTACAAGGCCGTTAAACGTGCGCAATTGCTTGATGGAGGTTGGTTCTGAGTAATCCAGAATGGCCGCCACTTTTGTTCTAAGGGGTCGGATACCTTGCGCATCGATTTTGTGTCCTAGGAAGTCTAAGGAGTCGGTTCCGATTTAGCATTTATGAATGTTTACAGTAATGCCATGTTCTTTTAGTTGGTCGAAAACAAGGCCCAGATGCTTGAGATGAGATTCTTTGTCCGGACGTGCTATTAGGCAGTCATCAACATACGCATGTGGAAAGTTTAGACCTCGAAAAACGTCGTCTATGGACCTTTGGAAGGTTTGTGCAGCGTTTCTTAGACTGAAAGGCATTCACAAAAATTCATAGAGTCCGAAGCGAGTTATAATAGCTGTTTTCGGAATATTGTCAGTAGCCACAGGGATTTGGTTATACGCTTTTACCAAGTCGATTTTCGAAAAGACGGTTGCGCCTTTCAAGGTAGCTGTCAAATCGTGAATATGAAGCAACGGGTAACAATCAAGAATGGTTTTTGAATTCAATCGCCGAAAGTCACCAGTTGGACGCCAATCGTTGCTGTCCTTTTTAGGGACCATGTGCAGTGGAGATGCCCATGGTCTGTTTGACGGTCTTATGATACCTAAGTCTGTCATATGGTCAAATTCGTTTTCCTCCAACCTTAACTGTTCGGGGGCCAGTCGACGTGCTTTAGAGAATACAGGTGGTCCTGTAGTCACGACGTGATGTGTAACGTTGCTGGTTACACAAGGCAATTTCGGTTGCGTTTGGCAAATGCCGGAATACTTATCGAGTATTGGTTGATAGAATGGGTCTGTAGTGTGCTTAATTGTGACTGGAAAAAGATGTTACGCAAACAGATAAATTAGTATTTCCGTCTACTAGCCTCCGTTTGCGCGTATCGATGATTAGGTCATGGTGATGTAGAAGGTCCATACCAATGATTGACATAGAAACATCTGCAACAACAAAGGTCCAGTGAATGGGTTTGCGAAAACCCACGTTAAGATAAACGTACCTTTTGCTATACGTAGAGATAGGCTTTTCGTTTGCCGCCTGTAGATTTAAAACCGATTCGTGAAACCTTACTTACTTACTTACGCCTGTTACTTCTCGTGAAGGAGCATAGGCCGCTCACCAGCATTCTCCATCCAACCCTGTCATGGGCAATCCTTTCAAGCTCTTTCCAGTTCTTATTCATCCTTTTCATATCTGCTTCTATTTCCCGACGTAATGTGTTCTTTGGCCTTCCTCTTTTCTGCTTCCCTTCAGGATTCCAAGTTAGCGCTTGTCTCGTGATGCAGTTTGATTATTTCCTCAATGTATGTCCTATCCATTTCCATCGTCCTTTCCTAAGTTCCTCTTCAGCTGGAATCTGGTTGGTTCTCTCCCACAAAAGGCTGTTTCTGATGGTATCCGGCCAATGGATGTTGAGTATCTTGCGTAGACAGCTATTGGTAAATACCTGTACTTCTTGATGGTGGTTGTTGTAGTTCTCCACGTTTCAGCTCCGTACAGTAGAACTGCCTTGACGTTCGTATTGAAGATTCTGACTTTGATATTGGTTGAAAGTTGTTTTGAGTTCCATATGTTCTTCAGTTGAAGGAATGCCGCTCTAGCTTTGCCAATCCTCGCCTTGACGTCTGCATCTGAACCTCCTTGTTTATCGACGATGCTTCCCAGGTATGTGTAGGATTCTACATCTTCCAGAGTTTCGCCATCAAGAGTGATTGGATTGCTGTTCTCCTTGTTGTGTTTGAGGACCTTGGTTTTCCCTTTGTGTATGTTGAGGCCTACTAATGCAGAGACTGCTGCCATGCTGGCTGTCTTTGTCTGCATTTGTTCGTGTGTATGTGATAGGAGGGCTAGGTCATCTGCGAAGTCCAAGTCGTCTAATTGGTTCTGAGCTGTCCATCGTATGCCGTGGTTTCCCTCAGATGTCGAGGTCTTCATAATCCAGTCGACCACCAGAAGAAACAGGAAGGGAGAGAGTAGACAGCCTTGTCTTACTCCGGTCCTTACTTGGAATGCATTTGTCAGCTGTCTTCCATCCACGACTTTGCACTGTAGTCCGTCATATGAGTTCCGGATAATATTGACAACCTTCTCAGGAACTCCGTAGTGTCGAAGAAGTTTCCATAACGTTCTCCTATCTACACCGTCAAATGCCTTCTCATAATCAATGAAGTTGACGTACAGTGACGAGTTCCACTCAATTGATTGTTCGACGATAATCCGTAGTGTCGCAATTTGGTGTGTGCACGACCGGTCCTTACGGAATTCAGCTTGTTGATCTCAAAGTTGAGCGTCTACTGTGTCTTTCATCCTGTTCAGTGACATTCTTTTGAAGACTTTACCTGGTATTGATAGTAGTGTAATGCCTCTGTAGTTTTCACACTTGCTCAGATCTCCTTTCTTTGGAATCTTGATGGGGTGTCCTTCTTTCCAATCCATCGGCACTTGTTCGTTCTCCTCCCAAATCTTCTTGAATAGAAGATGAAGCATGCTTGTAGTTACTTCGATGTCTGACTTCAACGCTTCAGCTGGTATATTGTCAGGTCCTGCTGCTTTCCCGCTCTTGATTTGTCTGACGGCCATTCTGATTTCTTCGGTCGTTGGTGGATTGACATCAATAGGAAGATCTGTGTGTGCTGCTTCGATGTCCGGTGGATTCATTGGAGCCGGCCTGTTCAGGAGTTCCTCGAAGTACTCTGCCCATCTGTTGCGCTGTTGTTGAATCTCAGTGATTGGTCTTCCTTCTTTGTCTTTGACTGGTTTCTCTGGCTTACTGTATTTCCCTGCTAGCTTCTTCGTCGTATCGTAAAGCTGTCTCATATTTCCTTCTCTTGCATCTCTTTTCGCTGTCATGGCTAGCTCTCCCACGTATTTCAGCTTGTCGGTTTGAATGCTCTTCTTCACTTGCTTGTTTGCTTCTGTGTACTCAGCTTGTGTTTGGACTTTCTCTGCCCGTGTTCGGCTGTTGTTAATCGCTGTCTTCTTGTCCTTCCTTTCTTTGATCCTGTCCAGTGTTTCTATAGAGATCCATTCGTTGTGATGATGCTTCTTGGGGCCCAGAACCTCTTGACACGTTGAAGTTAATGTTTCTTTGATACCTTTCCAGCTATCCTCCATGGTAGATTCTTCTTCCTTCAGTAGATCCTGTAGGGCTTGGAACCCGCTGTTGAGAGGTATCTTGAATTCATTGAGTTTGTCAGTATCTCGAAGGAAGGCTGTATTGAACCTTTGTGGTGCTGTTTGTCCAGTTGTCCAGTTCTTCTTTAGCTTCAGTTTCAATTTGGCCACAACTAGGT